ACCTTTCGCATGACGGACGACCTGCAAACCCGTCGAATTGAGCGAGTCACGCCATCATCCACTCTCACTGACCCCCATGTCCTTCTAGAAAGCAGCTAATTAAAAATGCAGAAAGAATTAGAAAACGGAGTGAATCTGTTAACAACAAAGATCAAATTGAAGAATGCCTTGACTAAACTGAGTAATTAAGGTTCGAGTTTGAAAAAAATTATAGAAATTGAATTTGAGGCATTTTAGTACAGTCATCTTGAAAGGTACTCTTGTCTCAGTCGAAAAGTTGGAATGATTTTTATGCAGTTGTATCCTTTTGGTCAAACTTTTCTGTTTTGAAATTAGTTATACAAACTGATGTTGCTGAGAACTCGAATAGTGCAAATTCAGATAACTTTTGACGGCATCCCACTTCGTGATTACAACATCAGATGGCTGAGGAACGCTATAGGTGTTGTTCAACAGGAACCTGTGATTTTTGCAACAACAGTTGCAGAAAACGTCAGGTGAGATGCTCAAAAACTAAGTAACTAATTCAAAAAATTACTAAAAACCAATAAGTTCAGGATGGGGGACTGTTCCTTGACAGACAAGGACGTAGAGGAAGCTTGCCGAATGGCCGATGCTCTCGATTTCATTAAGGAGCTTAGCCAAGTGAGTTTATTACTTGAAAACTTTCAAGAAAACAAAGAAATAAGCTTCCAGGGCTTTAATACAATTATCGGTGAAGGCGCTGTACAACTGTCTGGAGGTCAGAAACAACGTATTGCCATCGCTCGTGTTCTGGTTCGAAAGCCAGCGATTCTGATTTTGGATGAAGCTACTAGTGCTCTGGACTCAGAAAGCGAACATGCGGTGCAGAAAGCACTTCATAACGTTAGTTTCCCAAAATATAGAAAATCACTGAATGAACATGCATGTGACTTCTCTTCAGGCTCGACAAAACCGTACCATACTCAGCATTGTGCACAGGCTTTCTACTATAAGAAATGTCGACAAAATCATAGTTCTCGATAAAGGACGTGTAGTCGAAATTGGTAAAACACTCATTACTTGTACTCTGCGTTGCGCGCTTGACATGCTTGTTGAAGGAAGTCATGAAGAATTAATGACAAAAGAGCATGGAGTCTACCGCGGGATGAGGAAAGCTCAGAAACTTGCCAGGGAGCAAGAAGATACAACTTCGGATGGTAAGTACATTCTATCAACTACATTCCCTTCTCCTTTCTCTTCTCCTCCCGCCTCTACCTTTCTCTTTCCACTTAAAAGCTTGTAGACTTTAGCTTTGATTTATTTGAAAGAAGATACGGATAAAAAGAATAAAGCATCAAAAGAGGAGACTGGGGCAAATCTTCGACATAGGAGAGAACCCGCTGTGAAAGCTCGACAAATGCAGATCATCACACCGGAGGAACCTTGTTGGGAAAATAGGAAGTAGGTTTTTAATTGAGAGAGAGAATTTCTCTAACTATCTAGCAAGTAGCAACAACTGGAAAACAATTCTAAAAAGTAGTTAATAAATGTCATGGATGTTAGATAGCGTAAACGAACAAATAAGTGCGTATGAATGTGATGTATGAATGTTCAAGTCAATTAATGAAATGATAAATGAAATACGAACAAAGACGAAGAATTA